ACGTTGTTTCAATGTTTCCTTGCTATCTGGGTGGTGGGGCAAAGGATGGGCATGAAGTTATATTGACAGTTAAGGCATACGTTTAGCAGGGAACAGGTTGTTGAAACATGCCAGTTGTAAAAGTAATCTGTCATTAACTGAAATACTGAGTTAATGAAAATTTGAGCAAGCACTTGGGTGACAGTGGGAAGGAAAACTCCCTTTTAACAGGAAGAAACCTCCGGCAGAGCTGAACCTGAATTACATACATGAAAGAGACGAGACGGCGTTTTTTTTTTTCAACCTAAATGCAAATTTATGAGCTGCAGCTTTCTTCCTTTCTTTTTTTTAGAAGACTAAGTCATACCTACAGGTATGTTGACTCAGCAGGGATAATATTAAAAATTAAAATCAAATTATTTGACGGTAATAGGAAAACATCCCATAAGAGCCTCCCTGCGTTGTATAGTTTTTCTTTACATAAAGACTCTTCCACCATGAGAAAGTGTGTGAATTATGTGCTCAAATGAAACCTGCTCCGTTAGTGCTTTGTGTTAACAAATGCAACTCTCTTGGCTTTGTGCCGAAGCTACACTGCCATCAAGTGTTCAGAGTGGGAACATGATTCTTACACAATACAGGGGGGGAAGGTACAAGATATTAGATTTGCAGTCTTTGCTTAAAAACACAAACTTGGATACGATGTGTGTTTATCACTGGTTCGGGGTTATCAGATCAGATTAAAATAAGTGCAGAATATCCTCATTTTCCATATTAAAAACAAAACAAAAAAAGAATCTCTTTGCTGTGATACTGCTGGTTTTATGCTTCTCACTGGTTTCTGGCTGGTGGGTGCGCTGAAGTTGTTATTAACATAAATGTGAAGCTCTGATGATTTCCTCACCCCCACCCGTGCCACCACTGAGAACTGCAATCAGCAGTAACACCAGCCAGAGGATCTCGTGTCCTGTGATTGTAATGGGAGTTGAAGTCCGCAGCTCCACCGTGTCAGTTGAGAAGCTGTGTACTCACGAACTGCATCTCCCGTGACTCAGCGAGTGTCACTAATTTTACTCTGGTTGCAAATGGTTCAAGAGATGTTGTGAAAGTCTTGCACCTGCTCATCAGTATCGACAGACTGATGCACAGCTCCTGTCCCGCATGAGGTAGCAGAGCCATCGCGTTCATTTCAGAAGACTCAGGTAAGATTAACACCACTGAGTTTCAGCATTTAGGCCAAGATTGACCTGGTGACTTGTTAACAATGGGAACGAGTTGAGTTGCTAGCTGAATGTCACGCCTGCATACATGAGGGAAGATTGATTACAATTTGTTTGTTTTTTTACATTTCTGTAAAAACTTTATTTGTTATGTTATTATGTGTACCATTATTATATGATATTTATGTTTTTTTGGAATTAAATATATTAAAAATGTTTTAGTATAAAGCTATTAGCTAACTTTGACTTTTTATAAATAAAAATAAATTTGAAAGACTTTCTATTAGTCTTTAAATAGATTGGTCGTTCTTATATGCGAAGACAAAGAGATCCAACCAGATCTCTCGGTCTCTGTTTATTTTGTAGGCTATATGGCATAATGTAACTCCTCAGTAGGTAAACAAGCTGATGAGCCGTAGATCACCGCTGTTATGACCATGCTGCATTCCTGGACCGATGCTGCTATCGTCTTTCATCAGCTGTTCGCATGTTTTCTTCTTGAACAGCAAAGCTCCCTATAGTCATGGACAAACAGCCCAGGGTGGTGTTTCGAAATGTGGGGCAAGTGTACTTCCCCCAAACCAGGGTGGAGTGCCACTACAGTCTGACCTCAGACCATCAGTGGAGCAATAGTGACTGGATAGGAATTTTTGAGGTACGGTCACCAACTACAGCACCATGTTGCATCGTGGTAGTCACATTGTGTGCTTTATGACATAGAGTATGTTTATCCTATTATAGATGGGATGGACTTCAGTCAAACAGTATTACACATACACATGGGCTACTGTTCCTGAAGGATACACAGAGGGAACCAGTGTTGACTTCTGTGCAGTTTTCCAGGGTAAGAATTGTAATAAACGCTCCTGATGGTTAATGGTCTGTTTTGTTGTTGTTGTTTGTTTGTCTGGCTGAAATTGCCCTGTCCTCCCTGGTTGCACATTTGATAAATACTGTGTGCTTGTTTGTTCCTGTAAGCATAGATTCATATTTCATAATAAACTTTATTGATGTTAGACCTGGCTCTGATGCAGCACCTCAGTTCAGCATCTGTCTGAAATAAACCTTTTTAGCTCCTTTTCATTGGCTGCCCCTCATAAGCACAACGGCTAAACTCCAAAACTGTGTGCCTCAAAAAATGAATACGATAGATATCCCTTCACCTTGACATCATTTCATCTCAGAGTGATTACTATACAACTACAGACATAAAAATCTGAAACTTTAATATCCACCACTGTTTATGTATGACAGAGAACGAGGAAAAGCATAACGGGTCCTCTTTAAACCTGCATTCTTTCTAATAGCCAGCAGGGGGAGATTTTGGATTCACCAAAGAAAAACTACTTTGTAGACGTCTCAGTATGCAGTATCCAGATAGGTTTATATTCTTAATTGTAACACAGGATGGTGAATATTTTGAAAATTGTGGCCCCATTCGAGGAAAAAAGATCATTTAGGGTGTAGCTGAAAAGTTATGACTGAAATATCAGTTTCTAAATCAGTCCCACCCTTTGCTTGTTCTGTCCACCTATAGACAAACAAATAAATAAACAGACAGATAAAACCCAAAATGTGGATGTCAAAGTGGTTATGTCCACCTCTCATATACAGTCTGTCTCTGTGTCACACCCAGCAGTGATGTCTTAATCTACAGTCAACTACGCCCGTCAGTGGTCCCTGACACCCTGGGGGAAAACAACCTGCTTTCCCTGTTGCCAGCTATGTAGAGAATGAAAGTTTTAATTTCAGTTGTTCAGCAGTTGCTGGAAGGATTTGGGGTTTCCAGGCAGTCTGCTGACCGAGCTCTAGGCTTGTGTAACAGACACACCTCAGAGTGCGCTGCTGCATCACCACAGCAAAGTGATACCAGGGCGGTAAAAAAAGATGCTGCTGTGCACTTTCATAGAAGATTAGCTGTTGTTTTTAATGTTTTCACTGTGATCAAATAAAACTAATTTATGCAAAGCATTAGGAGCTTATAATGAGAATGTACTGCACTAGTTTCGTTTTTTTGTATTTGGGCCTTATTTTGCATTATTGTAACTGTAACTGACAGTAACTGACAGCTAATTTTAGGCACTAGAGGATAATAAGAAATGTCTTCTTGATACAGCATCATACCTGCCCCGCCCCAGTACTGTAGAGTACCAATTTGTGTATGTGGACAAGATAGGAGAGGTGTGTGCCCGTAGTCGTCCCTTCACTTTCTGTGCACCCAAGCCGCTTGAGGAGCTTGAGACCCTGAAAGAAGAAGAAGATGCAGAGGATGGAGAAGAAGAGCTGCTCTTAGTCATTCCCAGAGCTCAGCTGCTGCAGGTTGGAAGAGAAAATGTTTATTTCTTTTTATTATCTTTGACACAGGAATTAGAAATATGCCTGAAAATGCTTCGTCATTTCTTTCTGTGTTGTCCACAGAGTCGGCTGGAGGAGTGCTTAAAAAAGCAAGGAGGTCTGCAGCAAGCGTTGGATGTAGCAAAAAAGGAGATGGAGAATGAGAAAGAAAACAGCAGAAAAACAAGAAGTGAATGGGAATATGAAAGAGAAGCAATGAAGGAGGAGATCATGGAGCTCAGAGGCAACCTGAGACACAGCCGCGAGATGCTGAAGACAATCGAGGTGAAACACGAGGTGCACACTGATCACCAGTGGCGCACTGATAGCTGATCATTGAAAATTGATGAAAAGATGTATTCTCTTTTCTCTCCATGCAACTGAAAGGATGCGAAATACAGTCAAGAAAGTCTGGCCTCTGAGCTGAGTAAACTTGCGGCTGAAAAAGCTGAAAGAGAGCAGCGCATCAAAGACCTGGAGGAGGATGTCGAGATTCTGGCTGAGCGAGAGACAGAGCAAAACAGGGAACTGGAAAGGCAAGCCCTCGCAACACATGTCAGCTGAGTCAATTTCCAGCCACTTTGGCCTGAAAAGTGAATTTATTTTTGTTACCACAGGCTGAAAGAAAGAGTGAAGAAAATGTCCTGTCAAATGAAGCACGATGAGGAGAAGAGGAAGTCTCTGCAGGTTAACTGCTGTGAAGCTTGTCACTCTATAACACACAAAAGCCAATAACCCATCATCTCACTAAAAACAGACGAGAATCAGATGTTTTCCTGTCTTTTCTTCTGGCATATTCTCCCGCATTGTTTCTCTTCATGCTCCTTGACTCCCTGAAGATGGAAAATGAGGATGCTCTGGCCGAGGCACGACTGCTCCAGGAACGTCTCGAGGCCAGCGACCACGTGGCAGAAGGCCTGCGTAGGGAGCTGAGGGACCTGAGCACCCGACAGGGTCACACCCACACTGACCTGCACCAAGCCCGACTCCAAGTGGCCCAGCTCACACTGCAGCTGTCTGAGGAGAACCTCCTCCTGAGGGAGGAGAGGGCCAACTGGGCTTTGGAGAGAGAGGCATACAGACATGCAGCAGAAGTGAGGATGCAGAATATGCATCAAAGTAAAAAACAACAACAACAAAAAACAACAGAAGAAACAACAAAAAAAACTAAACTGTTTTCATGTTTTTGTGCAGACTGACAAAAAGAAGCTGCAAGATCTTGCCTGCGAGGTGCAGAAGAAGGAAGAGTGGCTCCAGGAGGAGAGGATGGAGAGGGAGAGACTGGAAGTGCAGCTCGGGAGAGAGAAAGACTATAATAAAGTAAGAGCCTCAAAGCACATCGCAATCGCCGTTCGGCTCTAAATATAACTGCTTATGTGCCACAATTCTGCATCATGAGATGCTCAACTTACAGTACAGAGAGCTGTGCCAGACTTCTTTCATTACTCACATACTGGCACAAATAGAAAAGCTTCCATGAACAGTGAGCAAACATTTCCTCACGACAACATGTGATGAACAGCGGGGAAGACGAGAAGACCCATCAGATTGGTGGGCGTTCAGGCGGTCGGATTATAAATGTTGCTGCCCCCTGTAGGTGCTGCTGGGTGAGGCGAAGCGTGAGCTGCAGGAGCTGAGGGCCAGTTTGAGAAAGGTCCAGAAAGAAAGGGAGGAGGAACAGCTTCAAAACCAGGCAAGGATTCAACACCGGATCAACAGCACAGCTCACGATTCTTTAATCTACCACAAGAAACAGTATAGGGATGCTAAGCCCTGCGCTTTGGCTCTGCTCTTCACAGGATAGGCATGAATTAAACTGGCATTTCTCAACAGAACACAGCAAAATGTGTTTTTCCTCCAAGCTCAGTTACACATTTTAGAGAGCGACTGCTGATTAGTTTAGGTATTCATTCTCATCACCTTCATTTCCCGATCAAATCTGTGTTTTTGTCATTTGAACCTTGCAGGATTTGGTGAACTACATCCATCAGTTAGAGCAGAGATTAGGGATTGTGTCAGAAGCTGAAGCAAGCAGTACAGCTCCCACGTGCGTATGTAAGTAAAAAGATCTTTTTGCATGCCACGCTGCTATTTCATTGAACTGTAATGAAAACTAAGATAAAGACTCAGTGCTGGTTCATACAGCTCCTGGCTCTACCCCTGCGAGTGATGAGAGTGCTTCCTCAGCTTCCTCCAGGTCAGTCTGTGCACTTGTTTCCTCGTCCAATGACCTGAAGCAGCCCGACAGAGCTGAGATTCCTCCTGAGATACAGATCCAGAGCGAGGAAGAAGACACACCAGCCTCTGACACACAGGTAAACCCAGGACTGATACACCTAGGTAGGGATATATTTGACTAGCTGGCCAAATTAGTCTGCAATTTCTGTTTCACAGGTGAGTTTAATGCTGCCTGTTGGAAACCAACTACTAAAGTCTTAGAGTTTAGACAAAGTCTAATGTGTCTAAAGTGTATCATCTGAGAGCGCCCATCGTCACAACATGTCTCCTAACTAATCCATTTAATCATTTTTGGCTTGTGTAATGAGCTTATTTCAATTCCTTAAAGACAACTTCCTCATATTTGAAGTGGTTTCCAACAAATAACTGCATTTTGCTAAATACCATAATTTAGATGATATTTGATACGAATTATTAGCACAAACGTTTGAGGCATTTCTGTTGTTACATACAGTCAGAGTCATGAAGAACTATTTTCTCTCACAAAAATGAGTCCTGCACCAGATTATTTGACCCTCACTAAATCCTAAACTAGCGGTTTTAAAAAGGCAAAAGATGATCTCTTCGAATGCTGATTAGATTTATTTATTTATTTCATCTACTGCGCTCTACTGGGTACTAATCGCTCATTAAAGACTATTTGGATGTAATTTCTCAGAGCTCTTTTACACCACAGAAAATAAGATGAAAGTAAAATGAGTACCACACTATATTTCCGTTTTGAAACCCAAGTGTCCAAGTGTTCTGGGTGGATACAGACCCACAGCTCACCTGCATTTCTGCCTCTGTCTGTTGAACCAGGATGAGGAAAGGGAGCAGCGTGAACCCTCCGCTGCTGAAAGAAAGAAACTGATCCTACCAGAGCTCATCAACCCCGTCCTCAGGTGACACGGCTGGCTTTCCAGCAGTTACACTTCACACGCCCTCTTTTCTCCGCCACAGCTGAAAATAAGACTGAATAAAATAATAGGACGGTCATGCTAAGCGAGAAGGCGAACTGTGGAATTATTTACCTTTGCTTAAAACTTTCAACTCTCTTTGCCTCTGCAGTGAGCTGGCTGACTCCCCCATGTGGTAACACAGGGATGGATGGCAGGTTTCCCGTGTACCACTGCGGTATTATTTTATATGGGTCATAAGAACACTTGAGACCTATATAAAGTCCCCGTCACAAAGGGTATTGTGCTTTTACCTCATGAGTGTCATTTAGGAATTTGCAAGTCTTAAGTGGGCTAATTTTCGCTGTTGTTTTATGCTGTTTGTGGTTTTAATTCTGATGCAAACTTAGTGACACTCAGGATGAATTTTAAGTGCAAATTGAATTTTTGTTTTCCGAACTTTTAGATGAAGAATCGTATTTTCGAACTTTTATTTCATTATTAGGTGTCTGTGTCACAGCTGTTGTGAGATATCAGTTGCACACACTAGCCCCCCCTGGGCTCTGCATGTGAGTGTGACTGCACAAAGTGTGTCAAGTGTGTGGGTGTGGGTCACAGTCAAGTGCAAAATGCTTTGCTCCTGGCTCGTTTGGTGCAGTTCAGGTAAAGGTTTGTTATTCAATGGTGCTCTTTAATAAAACATAATAATGAATACCAGGTGAGTGCTGTGCCTAAACGTCATTATTTCACCGTGACATTTGATGATTTTTCCTAAAGTGACCCAGAAATGTGCAAAAATGTTCTTTGACAACTTAATACCATTGTTCAGAAATGGTTTAACACTGATGCTGTTCCAGGTCGTATCTCTTCAGACAGATTTCAAGGTAGCACTTTATAATAGTGTCACAGTATTAAGTATAAGTATTAGTAAGCACTTAATTCATCATTTAACATTACCTCTCCTTAGTATGTCTTTGATAAATACAGATGTTTATCCATGTGTTACTGTTACACCATGTACAGCAATGACAGCTGTGTAGCTATATACAGCCTTCACTGCTACCACATCACTGCTAATAATAATCATAATAATTATATATTATAATGCCATGTAAATGATGACTTAAGCACTTCCTACCTTAATAAAACTTAGTAGTTTGACATTATTATAAATTGCTACCGATTTCAGATACACCACTGTGGCTGATATCAAGGAGAATGATGGTTATAGGGAACCTTGAAACTATGAAGCCGTGCATGACAGGGGTTACAGAGGTCAAGGGGGACCCTGACAGAGACAAATACCTGCTGGCTGTTGAAACAGTGAAGCAGAAGGACAACATAGGAGTGATCATCTGTGGCCTGCATAAGGAACAGAGGTCAGAGGGTGACTTGACGCAGACTCCAAATCTGCAAAAATCAGTTCGATTCAGTTTATTCTGAGCTGAGATTAAAGTGAAAGCCAAACTAGATTAAAAGAGGAGTTGTGGGAAGTCATCAGGTCATTAAAGAGCCTGAACTGCCACTTCAGTGTGTGCAGGAAAAACGTATACCAGTCCTGCAGATGCAACATTTCCTACCGCTGCTTTCAATGCACAGACTAGTTTATGACAAGCATTTTTTTAAATGTTGCATTAATCTTGACAATAACAGATTAGAACATACTTAAATCATTGTGGCTGTTATGTTTTCAAGTCTCAAGTGAAACAGGACATGATATTGTGCGATAGCATGCGGAAAAATACTAGACGCTGATGGAAAAGCTAAAAATACACCATCCCTGCTCTTTAATGTCAGACACTTATTATCGGGCAATTCTTGGCCCAGGTCACACTGAAGTATGTGAGTGTTAAAAGATGAGTGGCTGCTTGGTTCAAAGATGTGTAAAGGGATTTCAAAGAAGATGACAAGTGGAGACGCTATAAGGTCTGAGAACAAAAAGAGCATTTATCAAAATACAAGAAACAACAAATAACAAATCACGAGCCCCCAAACAGCAAAATATAGTATTGACTTCTCATAAAAATGTAAAGACAAGAACATATCAACCCAGTTTTTGGATTTCCGTGTGTGTGTGTGTGTGAGTGCATGGATGTCAGAGCCATCAAAGCTATTTTGATATCAAGTCAAGTTGAATTAAAACTCATGAGGAACCTGAATCCCTGAAAACAATAGAGACAACGACCTTAATAAAAGCGGTAAGCATTGTAAATGTTTTGTCCAAATGTAACGTAAAATCCATATTTGATCTTTTTTAAATGCCGTACTCGTGTGTAGAGCTCTTTTTAAACTGCACCAGCTCAAATCCAGAAAAAACGAACAAGGTTTTAAAACAAATAAAAGAAGGAAAAAACTTGTTCCAAACTATCATGGTTATATGAAACAGAAATACTTTTAAATGCCGAACAGTTTGAGTCGGGCTGATCGTGTGCAAGGTGTGTTCTGTCCTTTCCCACGGTTGTTTGGTTCTAAGGTTTTCACAATAAAACAGCAAAATTACCAAATTTAGGAGCAAACTTGGTGGGCCTTTCTTATTTAACACGCTTCTGTCTTTATCAACATAGCGCACATGAGAACCCCACTCAGTCACTCAGTGCCTGTTTGTGTCGGACGGTTGTTGGCCAGAACTCGAGCAGTCCCAAAACAAGTGTACGTGCGAGGGATTTCTCCAACCTAAAGAAAAAAATTTTTTTTTTTCATTTTTAGTTGCAAAATCCATTTTATACACATTTACAGATGCTGATAATTGGACACTCACTCATGTGGATGATGGCAGTGATGTAACGTGTTACTGGGACACACTCACACGCTCACGCACACACATCTGAGGTTTCTGTGATGTAAACGGCTTTTAATGCTTGTGTTTGCTTGGCTGAGTCTTTGCTTTCTTTAAAACAACAGGAAGAAAATCTTATGGCTTAACTGTACCTGGTTGTTTGAACGAGTGCATGTACTGAAAGTTTTAATGATTCCTAACCTGTGTGAAAGAAGAACGTCTGATGGAAAAGAAAAGAAATACTGTAAAAACAGGTGAAGCGTGGCCCTGATCGACTGGAGATATGTTTTCCCGCATTTCTGACATTTTTATTATTTGGCCCACAAGCACCCGGGTTTGAATTAAAGCTGAAGTCCTCTTGCATTTCTTTCAGATTAGCCAATCACCAATCCTGAATGATCACACTTAGAGTTTGAGTCCTGCTCATGACTCCCATGACTCTTTAGCTATCGCTCTTTTTCCTTTTTGTTTTCCTCTTTTCTTCTGCTATTGCTTCACTGTCCGATAAAACTAACGCATACGATAAAAAGCACAAATGTCCAGTCAGATGCGAGGACTGAGCGTGAAAATATACACAAGAAAAAAAAGCAACACGAGGTCCCACAAACAAACAAAAGACAAAACAGTAATGTGTACATGCTTATAAAAACCATACAATGAAAAAATAAGTAGCATATCTCTGAATAGTAATAAAAGTAATTCTGAGAAGACATCTGTGGAGTTCTGTCGCTGCAATGTACTCTTACCGTCAATTTTATACAAAGCATAGCCCTTAATAGATAGGAGTGCTTTTTTTGTCTCTCAACAACTGTTTTTCCTGTCTTTGTGCGGACAAAACCTTTTTTTTTTTAATATATATATATCTTTTAAACATTCTGGCACTGTGATTTTCTTTTTTAACTGTGCCCTCATCAATCCACTGAAATGTAGTGCTTTTGCCTCTCCAAATTCCTCACTTGCTACTATGAATTGAACACATTTTCCTTTCAGTCAGTATGTACAGTATACACGGATATGTGCTGTGCGAAACGCCGTTTTAAGAGCTTTAATCTGTGAGGTTTCTACGAGCTGACGTTGCTCGGCGGCGGCGCTCGGCGAATCCGTGCGAGGCAGCGGTGTCGTCTTGTGTCTCTCTTTCTCGGTCTCACTGCGTCTTCCCTGTCACGCCTTTCTTTTGCGCGCCCGCTGCCGCCTCCCCCCACGCCTCTCCGTCGCTTTCTGCCCCTCGCTCTTTCTCCTCGTCCCAATAGTCGTCCTCTTCCTCCTCCTCTTCTTCCTCGAAGGCTGACTCGTACGTGGCCTTGTCCTCTTGCTTGATGGCTTGAATGGCAGGGGGAGCAGCTGCGCCGCTGTCGCCCGAGTCGCTGCTGTCCTCGAAGGAGTCCGGGTTCTCCAGCATCTCCCTGATCAGGGGAGGCATGGGGCCGGGGATCTCTGTCTTTAGTGTGATGGCTCTTTCTGCACCTGCAAACACATGGACGTTTATTTACTCGTAGGTATAAAGAAACAAAGAACGTCACATGCTAACAGACAGGAGTCATGTAATTTAAAGAAATCATTCAAACATGCACATATAGGTATATTCTGTCTGGCAGACCTTTCTTCCAAGCATGAATTTACGGTAATGTCTGTTAAATGTTTCGAAATTGCTTTGAGGCAACATTTATTTTATTTAAGCCTAACAAGCAATAGGAGCCTAGTTTGAGACCAGCATCATCAGTCTTTTCCTAACCGCTAACTGCTTTCAGCCTGAGCTAATCTGAGCAAAAAATACAAATCTGAAAAGATATTTCAGTACTTATGCGTGTTGAGCTTTGACACTGAGATGAAAAAAACAAGCTAACCTTTGGTGCTGATTCCCCTGAGGTCTGTGACTTTCATCAGCATTCGGGGAAACATGTGAGGCTTGTTCGGGCGTCTGCGTCGGGTGTAGATCTTCAGAGCCTCTAGCAGTGGTTCCTGCAGCTTGTCCACCTTCTCCGGCTCTTCCAAGTCCATACGGTCTAGGAGTGAAGTGAAGAGAGCGGACACAGCAAAACAATGACAGGAAGCGAGACACTGTTACAGCCTTCATGCTACCGACTGACTGCTAAACTGTGACCGTACACTGATGTCTCTTCCTTTCCATCAATAATTCCACGACTGCAAGCGGACACGATGCAAACAGACGCCGAACAATGACCCAAGTTTACCTCCGCAGATGAGACAGATGGCGCTGAGCAGCCCCGTCTCGGTGTCGTCCATCTCCAAAGGCAGCAGCTGACCGGCAAAGGCAAACACCAGGTCTGTGAGCGGGCCAAAGCCGGCGTTATGCATCTGGGTCCTGTTTAGAGTCAGGCCATCTGAGAAGGTCATCGTGTCCTGCTCTGGTGTGTAGCGAGTGCATATCCTCAGCATCTAAGCAGGGGAAGAATATGATGAGGCATAAACCAGAAATTTCTAGACAGAAGTTCACGTTGAAATTATTTCACGGGAGCTGTTCAGAATCACAAAGCAGCGTGACAAATAGAGAATAGCTTAGGGATGTGGAGGTGTAGTCGATTAAAGGGGAGGAGTAATAGGAACGTGGCGCTAGTACCAGGATGTCCAGACATGCAGATTTGAGGAGGGTGATCTGGTCAGCGATGGTGAGCGTAGTGAAGCCTGGTAGCCGCTTGGCAAACTCCACAATCTTTATAATGCACTTAGTGGAGAGCTCACTGAACTTATCCCATAGGCCCAAGTCCAGCTGCACTCTGTGGTCAGCACTTGAATTCTGGGAGAGAGAAAGAAGGACACTTTTTTTTTTTTTTTTCTGTGTGACTGTGCAAACTCCACAGAGTGTTTGTCCTTCCTGCAAAGCGGTGAGCTTAAGTGGAGCGCGAGTGTCGAGAAGTGGATACAATTATGTGCTAAAAAAAAAAGACTCACTGTGGTGTATTTTCCTAGTTGGCACAGAGACGGGAA